AGGAAGGAAGGAAGGAAGGAAGGAAGGAAGGAAGGAAGGAAGGAAGGGATGGAGGAAAGGAGAGAGGAGGGAGGGGGGAGGGAGGAAGGGAAGAAGGAAAAAAAAAGGAAAGAAGGAAAACAGGAAAGGAGTGATTACCATGTAAAGAAACTGAGGGTTTGGCCTCTTAGGTTATCAATCCTACCCTGTGCTAGCCAAAACCTATCACCATCTTATATGACTGGATCAGTGCAATCATGAGACTCCAACATATAATACTGCTGGAGGAATCCTTATAATGTCCCCCCAAATTTTTTTTAAATTTTTACTAAAATATCCTGTCTGTTGTTGTTTAGTTACTTCAGTCACGTCTGACTCTTCATGATCCCATTTGGGGTTTTTTTGGCAAAGATACTGAAGTGGTTTGCCATTTCCCTCTCCAGCTCATTTTACAGATGAGAAAACTCAGGCAAACAGGGTTATGTGATTTGCCCAGGGTCACACAGCTAGTAAGCATCAGAAGCCAGATTTGAACTAAGAAAGATGAGTCTTCCTGACTCCAGGCCCAGTACTCTATCTACTGCACCACCCAGCAGTCATGTAACAGACCTCATCATGCCCAGACTGCTTTAAAAATCAAACTCCTTGTGAACATAAAATTAGAGATTACTTGCCTTCTTTCTTCCGTAGAAGAGAAGTTTAGTGAACTTCTCAATAATCCGGGCTGGTGTCTCTACGCTGGGCGGAATCTCACCAGTGAGTAGGTTGGGTGTCCCAGAGCTCGCTACCGGCCAATTATCATCGGTCAGGTTGATCAGGTTAGCCACAGGGGCTTGTCTTTTATATTTGTCCAGCTTCCTGCAGTCCTGCATCAACAGCTCAGCTACATCTGACCCCACCATTGACTTCAGAGCAAAGAGAATTGATCATGAGGCCTACAGCACGAGTCCAGCAACAGCCTAGGTTGGTCCTAATTTGTGGTTCAGGCTAAGAAAACAATGACATAGGGGCCTTGCCCTTTCTAAAAGATCTATATAATAAAAGAAAAGCTATTTCTTCTACCTTCCTCTACCCTACCCCACCCCACTCCATCATCCCTACCCCACCCCCACAGACACACATTTGCACAGGAGCAACATTTCTCATAAATCACTTGGATGGTCATTCTTCAGCATTCATCCCCACTAACATTGCTGAAGATAATCATGACTTCTCTGGAAGACTGTCAGGAGCAAGTTAGAGAAAAAAATGATCACTCTTCTGTGGGGTTGTTACCAAGCTGGACCATCATCTATAGTCTAGGGATGCAAGTGGAAGGGTTCACATTTTAAATTGGTATTTGTGTGGTACAGAGGATAGAAGGTCAGCCTTAGGGGTCAGAAGACATGGGTTCAAGTCTCGTCTCTGATATTTTCTACCTATGGAATAAGAGCGAGTCACTTAACTTCTCAGTGACCCGATCAGCCCTCTAAGATTCTACAGAATAGCTGTTACCAGGCTCTATCAATAGAGGGAGTCCCCACACCAGGAGTTCCCTATCCTGATGAATTCACAGATCTAGACCAAAAATAACAATAATTTATAGGCACTCTTTTTCTTCCGGAAAAATCTTTACTTCTGACATTTTGTCGTAAATGTCTATGAAATTAAATCAGCTTTATTCAAACCAGAAGATTCAAAATCCAGCCCTTCCATCCCCATCTACCCTAGGCAGGGCCGCTTGTCTACATACCCCATTCTGCCGACAAAGGAGGACCAACAACTTCCAGAGCAGGGCCAAGTCTCTACCCCTTGGCGTCTCAGCCTCGCAACTCAAAGCTGCCTTCTGCTGGCAAAACAACATCACATCCACCTTGTGCAGATCTTCCCTGCATTGGGAAAATCCAAGAAGCAGAGTCAGCCACTGGGAGTCATATTCTGGAAAACTCAAGGGAAGCATACTTAGGATTCTCTATCAACTGATGAAAGATGCCTCAGGGAAGGAGACTATGGCCTGTCTATGAAGTCAACTAGATGAGTGAGGATTTCTGGCCACATAAAGCCCGGGGGGGGGGGGGGGGGCGGGGAAGAGTCCGGCGACAAGGAAGCTGACATCGCAAGGAAGGAGGATGGACTTGTGATCACCGGCTCATAAAGGATGTTCGAGCTAAAGGGAATCATAGGATCTAACCCCTATTTTCCAGATGAGTAAACCAAGGCCCATGGAGGCTAAGGGACCTGCCTAAGCTCACCAAGCTAGGCAGTGGCAGAGATGAGACGTGAATCTCGATTTCCTGGTCCCCAGTTCAGTGATCTTTTCATCATTCCGCCACAGTCATATGCCATAGAAAACAAGGGTTTTATTCACTTAGAACTGAAAAAGAATGCCCCATGGCCATAAAAATACACTGTTGTTGTTGTTGTTTTTCATCTGGGAATGCACATTGAGCTGAGAAAAATAATCACTGAAATAAAGAAGCTCCAATTCAGTCCTACAGGGGGCAGATGTGCCCACTCATACTAGTCTAACTATTGAATTCCATCACGCGTCTTCCCCCCAGTGGAACCCAGGCTATTTTTCCTTTTTTTAAACATTAATTCACTTGTTGGCAATTTCCCAGAATCCACTCTGACAATGGTGTGCTATTCTAGTATCCATCTGCTGTCACTCATATCGAGCCCTAGAATTTTCTTGAGGTGATCTCTGCAAATTTTAATTGATTTTCTTTCCCCGTGGGTGGTGTCCTCCTTTTAAACCTATGTTTTCTTGTTCTCTTTAGCTACAAATGATGAAATCAATACAGACAACGACACGTCTGACTCTGTCCCGCAATACAAAGAAGTTTGCTTCATTATCCATTAGTGAACCTTTTCTTCAAGGAAAGTCAAGCAAGAGCCAAACAGAGGGCAGACTCAGAAGCACGTCAGCCATGAACAAAAGGGACAGACCTCTAGCTAACAGAGAAGCCTGACTCTGAAAGTCTGCCAGGAACTTTACCTGATCAGAGGTCCTGAGAAAGCTCTGAGCTCCTCTTGTTCCTCAGTGTCATTAAGGAAAACCTGGAAAACAAAAAGAGATTTCCTCTGCCCATCTAATGCCCTGCTCCTCCTGGGCCAGCGGGGGCAAAGGTTTCATCAGTCTCCCTTAGCCAGAGAGAATGATTTTAAAAATCATTCTGGAACATTTCTTCTACTTAAGCAAGACTGTCCTAACTCAAAACAAAATGCTAATAGAATCAACTGGTCTTTTAATAAATGGAGAAGGCAGGATTTGATATCTGGAAACCTGGGTTCAAATCCTGGTTCTACCACTTAACCTACTAGCTGTTTGATAGGATTATGGGTGATAGATATTATAGATAAATGAGTCAATGGGCAAACCACTTTCTCTATTGGCACCTCAGTTTCCTCATCCATAAAATGGAGATACTAACACTTGGACAACTCACCTCAAAGAGTTGTTATAGTTTGTAATTTTCAATGAACTTTGGTGTGAGCTATAATTATTAACTCAAATGTAACTGGCAGGACAGGCAGTTAAAACTAGGTCCCTATGACTTAGGGTTATAAGACCTTAGAGACTTACATGAACTGATACAAAGTGAAATGAGCAGAACCATTGTATACAATAACAGCAATATTATACAATGATCAATTGTGAATGACTTGGGTATTCTCAGAATTACAACAGTTCAAGACAATTCTGAAGGATTCATGATGAAAAAAATGCTATCCATCTCCAGAGAAAGAACTGATAGAGTTTGAATGCAGATCAATGCATACTTTTTTTTATTTTTCTTGTGTTTTTTTTAGTCTGTGTTTTCTTTCACAATATGAGTAACATGGAAATATGTTTTGCATGACTGAATACATATCAATACCTTCTCAATGAGGGAGGGAAGGGAGGAAAGGTGAAAGAGAATTTGAAACTCAAAAAATGTTTTGAACAAATGTTAAAAAATTAGTTTTTACATGTAATTGGGGAAAAATAAAATATTAAAATTTTAAAATAAAATGGTTCATGTTAAGTAGCTTAAAAAATGAGACCTTAGGTTTTAAACTGAAGGGGGGACCTCACATCTAGTACAACCCCTTCATTTTACAGATGAGAAACACATAGCTAGTAAATGGAAAAGCCAAGAGTTGAACCCCAGTCCTCCAACTCAAAATCCACAATGTTTCCCAGTGTGCCATATTTGAAATGAAGCATCGTGCTTCCTCCTTCTAAGCTTTACCATAATCACAATTCCTTATGATAAATATCTGAGCAAGAAATTCAAATTCCAGGGCACTCAACTAAGCTGTAATGTTGACCCAAGAATGGAACTCTACACAGTCCAGTTACTTGTGATTCAGAACACCATCAAGCTGTAATGTGGCCTCTGTATCCAGGTGAAGAATGAGATACATTAGAGCAGCTAGGTGGCACAGTGGATAGAGCACTGGTCCTGGAGTCAGGAGGACTTGAGTTCAAATCCAGCCTCAGACACTTGACACTAGCTGTGTGACCCTTGGCAAGTCATTTAATCCCAATTGCCTCACCAAAAAAAAAAAAAAGAAAGGAAAAAAAATGAGGTACATTTCTGTGTGAGGCAGCACGCTGGTAGCATATAAAGGGAAAACTGGACCTAGGCTAGTATGGTGTAGTCGATGGAATCCTAGCTTGGAGTCAGGGAGATCTGGATTCAAATCCTGTCTCTGATGCTTTCTAGTTGTATAGTGATGGGCAAGTCACTAAAGTTTTCAGAGTCTTAATTTATGAAATTGTAAAAATGATGGTAGTGCAGTGGATGGAACACCAGGACTGGAGTCAGGAAGTCTCATCTTCATGAGTTCAAATCTAGTCTCAGATGTGTGACCCTGGTGTTTGCCTCAGTTTCCTCATCTGTAAAATGAGCTGGAGAAGGAAATGGCAAACCACACCAGTATCTTTGCCAAGAAAATCCCAAATGGGGTCACAAAGAGTCGGACACAACTGAACCACAAATGTGCCAGGCACTCTACAAAGCATTTTACAAATACTATCTCATTTGATGAGCTAAAAACTGCTTTCTCCTTGTTTCCCATGAAAGTATATCAACATAATCTCTATGTTGGTCAGCAATCCAGACTGAGGAGGGTATAAAGAGAAGTTGAGATCAGGAATGTACCCGGGATGTCTGTATGATGGGGGGGAGGGCAGAGGGGTTCAAACAATTTTACCTCCAAACTGTGTACTTCCACAAGTGCTGTCTGCCCATCAGCTGGATGGTTGGGGCACACCAGTATCAGTTGACCTCCTGGCCCAAAGCACATAGGTGTGTGAGGGACAAAGAACTTCATGGGGTCTACAGGACCAGCGGATGCATCTTCTAACCAGAGATACACAAAGATAGTCATTGGTAGACACTGGTGTCTTGGGTTAAAAGACATTGTTATGGAAATGACAGCTGGGGCAAAATTCTGGATGGACCAGAAAAATAGACAGGGCCCTGGTATCATAAGATAAAAGGATTGAGAACTGGAAGGGGCCAGGCTCTAGAACAGGGTTTTTAAACTTTTTTGTATCATTGACCCCTTTTGCAATCTGATGACATCTACAGATGCTTTCTCAGAGGAAAAAAAAAAAGTGCTTTTAAATGCATAAAATAAAGTGCATAGCATTACAAAGGAAGTCGATTATGTTGAAATGAGGTTATCAAAATGTTTTTATATTTATATAAGACTGGGAACGCCTTCAGCTCAGTGACCCTTTTTACCTTTCTTTGTATTCTCAGTGCTTAGAATAGTGCCTGGCAAATAGTAGTTGCTTCATAAATGCTTGTTCACAGATCCCAGGTTTAGAACCCTTGTTCTAGAACCTCTATAGACCAGACCTATTCCAAACATGTTACAAGGTTTAGCTGATCAATCCTAAATGATACCCAACAAATTCTTTGTTGTAATGAGGAAGAAAGGCCCAGGTGCTACAGAACGTGCAAAATCCCTGGTTCTCGAGATTGCATTTCTCTGAGAATTCATCATCTCAGAAAAATCATTTTGCTTTGTGGGTGACCTTCACCTTCTCCATCCCTTCCTGATCCCTCCTCTCTAGGAATCTCTTTTTAGACAGACCTTCTTATCTAGGTAAAAAAAAATACCTTTTACTATCTCATCTCCCAAGTGGACCACCATTTAAATAAATGCCAGACACAAGATTCCTGGAAGCAGCACCACCCTCTAAGAATCCACAATAACATCTTCATTATATAGGAGTAACTAGAGAACAAGAGATGGGAGCCTCAGATTAACATTGTAATTAAAATCCACTCCATGAGAGCCTGTGGGTTCAGCCAATTAGCAAGATTTATTAAGAATCTACTTTATACCAGATTCTATTATAGGTACTGGAGATAGAAAGACAAAATAAAAAATACTCCCTGCCCTCAAGGAGCTTATATTTTGCTAGAGAATTCAAGGGCCATTTATAAATGGGCAAGTGACAGGCCTCTCTAGGTAAGCATAGCTTCTTAACAGACCCATGTTGCTGCTACCTGTCTGAACAGGACTCCAGGTCTTCAAAGGGGTGGAATCAAACTGATCAGAAGAATCCAGCATGTACTGGCTGAGCTCATAGCTGCTGGAGCTCAGACCCGACTCTTTATACTGCTGGAGCAAACTGGACTCATCAGCCAAAGAAAGCTGGAAATTTAAAAAAAAAAAAGTCAACAATCAATCAGTAAGCATTGATTAAGCACTTACTATTTGCCAGCTGCTATGCTAAGCACAGGGCAATGGAAATACATCTGGAAATACATTGAGAAGATGAGACTCCATCAGGTGAGTAGATCATTGCAGAAGCCTCTCCCTCACAGTGGCTCTTTTAAGAGAACCAAAATTCCAATTCCTCAGTAAATACTGTGATAGTGAAAGGATTCATTGGTAAGAAAGGAGTTCAATTCACCAACAAGTATTTATTGAGCTAGGCACTGTAAAGCAGTAGTGTTAAACTCAAGTAGAAACTGGGGCCACTAATCCCTACATAAGGATCCCTGTGAGCCACCGATTGACTTACTTTTAAAAATAATGTTATCTATGATTTATTGTATTTTCATGTATTACGTTAAATAGTTCTTAATTTATTTTGTCAAATAATATTAAATTATTTTGTTAAGTATTTCAAAAATTAAATTTATATTTATTAAACATTTTCATCTGGTCCCAGCCACACTCAGGAGTGGGCCATCTGTAAAAGATACAGAACCATAAGGCATAGCCCTTGACTTTGGGAAACTTATAACTTAAATGAGGAGGTAAGACCAGCACACACGAAACCACATAACACAGAATAGGAAGAGATCACTACATTCTTTGTAGGGATTCTGCAGGAGGTCCACACTAGGTAGATAGAATGTGTGATTCTGTCTCCCTACCTAAATTAAAATATTCCAATAGCTCACAGATCCCTGAGAAGAACAAACTGGCAATCTATGTGAGCTCAAAGGCAAGAGGCCAATTCAATTCAACTCAACAAACATTTATGACATGCTTACTAGAGCAGTTCTCAAAGAGGTCCCCAGAACACTGCCACCATATTGCCAGTTCAGTGGATTCTTGTTGGGCATGCCTCAGATTGTATGGACCTTACATAGTCAAGGGCATGTGTCTGTATCTCCCGACTCTCCCTAGTGTTCTCTCTCATTACACAGAGCTTTGCATGGCACCTGTCATATAGTGTTGTTGTTGAGTTTCAGTTGTGTTTTACTCTTCATGACCCCATTTGGGAGTTTTGGGGGGTTTTTTTGGCAGAGATACTGGAGTGGTTTGTCATTTCCTTCTCCAGCTCATTTTACAGATGAGGAAAGTGAGGCAAACAGGGTTAAGTGACTTGCCCAGGTTCACACATCTAGCAAGTGTCTGAGGCCAGAGAACTCACAATCTAATGGGAAACAACATAGAAAGAAACTGAACCTCAAGGGAAAGAGGAAGGTTTGTTGTTGTTCGATCACTTTTCAGTTGTGCCTTGACTCTCCACAACCCTGTTTGTGGGTTTTTTGGCGGAGATACTGGAGTTGTTTGCCATTTTCTTCTCTAGCTCATTTTACAGATAAGGAAACTGAGGCAAACAGGGTGAAATGACTTGTCCAGGGTCACACAGCTAGTAAGAGTCTGAGGCCAGATTTGAACTCAGGAAGATGAGTTTTCCTGATGCCAGACCTGTCATTCTATCTTTTGTGCCACCTAGCTGCCCTGGGTAGACTTTACATCTGGAATTTAGAAGTAGAGGACCCTGATCAAGTCAAATGTGTCCAGGGCTTTGCAGAGTGCTGGCTGCTGGAGAGAGTCAAAAAGACACTATATACTGAGAATGAAGGTAGTAGCTTCCTAACTGTGACAGGTGAAGAACCTCCTCGTCCCAGCAGGTTAGTTACCTCACTGAGCCAGGTGTTGGCATCTTCCAAAGTGCTGGGCTGCAGCTCCTCATCCCCTGGCCTTTCTTGCCTGGCAGAGTCAGAAACTGGACTTTCCTTGAACGTATCATAACGATTAGACCTGCAGTAAAGGGGACAAAGCCTGGTGAGAACCCAGCATTACGCAAACACAAATGGGATGGTACTTTTGCAGGGGCATTACAGGCCAAAGGAAGAAGCAAAGGTCCAGCTCTACAGCAATAAAGGATCTCAAAGCCCAACTAGTACAACACCTTTATTTAAAAGATGAGGAAACTGAGGCCCAGGGAGATCTGCTGCCTTGCCTAGAAGTCACAAAAATCAATAAACTTCAGAGACTGAGATTTGAATCTATGTTCACTGATTCCAGAGCTGGTGCTCGTTGCATCATTCCACTGTTTCTCTAATGAAGACATTCTCCCTCGCTGGCCTTCATAACATAGCAATTCAACAAATAAGAAAAAAACTATTATCTGCTTGATGCAGTGGTCTGGAGTAAGTCCAAGTCTGTAGAAAAGGCTTCTTCTCTATTGGTCTGACTAAGGAGACTCAAGTAATCTTCAGTTTAAATAAAAATACTTAGATTTGAGAGGGACTCAGCTGGGCAAAGACGCCAGCACAGATGGGTTTCTGCCCTCTTTTCCTTTTCTCTTATTCCCTGGACTGTCCCCATTTTTCCATTCTTCAGCCCAGAGGCCAGTTTGATGGTAACCCATCTTTGATGCTACCAGTCCAGAACAGGATGAGCATCCTATACCCAGATCATGCCTAACCATGAGAACAGTATAGAGACCAGGTCAATTCAGAAAATAACAACTAAGGACCAGACCTGTGCTTTTATTAGTGTAAAGAATTCCCAGTGAGGAAACTCCCTCCATCAATGTATATCAAGACCTGCTCTGCCATTCATAATCTTACAGAATTACCTAGAGAAGAGATGTCAAACTCACAGCTCCTTGCTTCAGTGCTGACAGAACCAGAATAAGATGTAATTGGGAAATGTTTAACAAAATAAATAAAAATACAACGCAACATAGGTAATGCTAATATGTGGTTTTCTAGGTCAATGTGAGGCTGGCAGGGATCAAGTTCTGCTTGAGTTTGACTCCGCTGACCTAAAGCACTAAGAGTTGATGTGACTTGTCCATGGCCAAGCAACCACATATCACGCAAGACTGGAACCCAGATCATCCTAAATCTAAGGCTGGCTCTCTCAGACTGATAACACTAAGTTGTGGTGTCTTCCAGGAACAGGCCTGGGCCCAAGACTCAGATTAAACTAGATCTTTAGACCATAGCAGATATGGATCTCTTCTCCTGAGAATCCATCTTGAAAGACTGGATCAGGTCTCCTGGGGTGTTCTAAACCTAAGTAGATTCTCAGGATCCGACCTGGTCTGTATCCATGTACCTGACACTGCCACCACTCTGATGCAGGTCCTCATCATCTCCCACCTGGACTATTGCAGTAGCTTGTTGTTTGGCCTCCCAATCAATCCTCCACTCGGTGGTTACCTACTGCCTCCAAGATCATATATAAAACCCTCTGTTTGGCTTTTAAAACCCTTCATCACCTGGCCCCCTCCCAGATTTCCAGTTTCCCTACACCTCACCCACTTACTGTTCCTCAAACACAACATTGTCTGAATATTTTCAGTGGCTGTCTCCATGCCTAGAAAACTCTCCCTTCTCATTGCTTACCTCCTGCCTCCCCTGACACTTCAGTCATAATCCTACCTTCTACAGGGAGCATTTCCCAGACCTCTTTAATCTTAGCTTCTTCCTTCTGAGATTGTGCCCAACTCTCATCGCCGTCTCTCCCACTAGACTGTGAGCCCCTTGGAGGAAGGGAGTGGTTTTTGCCTTTCTTTGTGTCTACAGAGTTCAGTGCAGTGCCTAGCACATAACAGGCACCTAATAAATGTTAGCTGATTGACAGACCAGGCCAGCACAAGACTGGCCTTGAGGCTGAGGGAAGAAAACGCCCATTGCCCCAAAGTTTGCTTCAGCGCTATGACTGTGACTGGACGAGGTTGAGTTCTTCTTTGGTTGCCACACTTACCGAGACTGGATTTCACCATTTGTTCCAAACGGGCTGCTCCGTCTTTCCTCATGGTAGTCACTGTAGGGGTTTTGATCCCTATAATCTCCATGCCTATTGTAGGGACTCCCCTGCCTTGGAGCTATAACCAGGAAAAAAAAAAGAATGAAGACAGTTCTGATTTCTGAGAGGTCAGAGCTGACACTCTTGCTTTCTCAAGAAGGATACCTGGGGCAGCTAGGTGGCACAGTGGATAGAGCACCGTCCCTGGAGTGCACCCAAAAATGTACGCGAGAGGCATGAGCCAGAGTTGTTTGAATGAGGAGAAGGCTGGAGATGCCAGCTTCCGACACACAATTCCTCATCCCCCACAGACTATTAAGAGCACAGAATTATACAATGGTGGGAAGATGGAGGTGGGATGTATGCGTGTCTATGTGTGTGCAGGCAGCACCAAAACAGACTCCTTCTCCTCTCCAACTCTGTCACAAGCTGCCTGTAACACCCACCCACCCACAACTGAATGTGCTACTCACCTATTTGTAACTGTGGAATTGAAAATTTTCCACATGTGAACAATGGCTAAGGGTGTCTCACCCATAAAGTAGAATCTCTGTATTTATGGGATGTAAGATGAGTTCTAGTCTTCTGAAGAAAATTACAGTGAGGACCATTGCTTTAGTTAATGAGACCACTGTATATTAATGAGGCTAAGGTCAAACATTTGGTTCCCATGTAGTTTGGCTGCCCTCTGCTCTCAGATTTTGGTCTTGGTTACAAAAACTATTAGGGAGATGGATCAGTACAACTCATCTCCAGTATTACAAAAAAAAAATTAAGGGACGTATCTTAATCATGGTGGATCAATGGCATTCTCTTAGTAGACAAATGACAGCAGCTCCCTCCCTGGCTCCATTCCTCAAGATCAAGAAATGCAGATATCTGGTTTCAGGTTACCATGGCACAAAACTGGCGGGCATGACTCCATTGGTGAGTTCCAAGCCCATCCGCCTATCTGGGCCAGCACCAAGTCCCAAAGACCAATCACATCCATACCTCGCTCTTCTTTCCACAGTTGTGAGTGTCCACGATAGTAACTTCCATAGGTATACTCTTCCCTTGTGCTTGTAGGAGGGTGGTTCTGATATGGATTCTCATATCCTGACCTGAAATCACACACACACACACACACACACACACACACACACGCATGCACACATAAAACAAAACAAAACAAAAAAAAAAAAACACTGAAAGAAGGCACAAGTCAAGAGAAGAGATGATAATCAAATGCAGAAAGAAATTGGCTTCAAAGCAAGTCTGTGACTCAGAGGTATGGAGCATGGCCTGAACAAAGTTCAGCACCAAGGTCAGAACAAGACTCAAAGTCAGAGTCCCAGAGAATTTAAAGTTTCAAGAGACCTTAGAGATCCTCAGGACAACTCCCCTCATGAGGAAAATAAGGTCCAGGGAACTGAAGTGATCTTTCCAAAGCCACATTAATGCTATTAAAACTGAGAGAGGAAAAAAAAATACTGTGCTCACCTCGACTTCCATGCAAGTCAAAGGTCTTTTATAAAGCTTCTTTGTAAAGCCCAGAGACCACCATAGGGCACCAGAAGGTGGAGTCCACCAGATAGGCTGGCTCCCTGGGCCTTGCCCTCTATATTGCCGCTGAACCCTGAGAACCCTTAGGCCTTTCCACCTATCCTACTGAAGGACCGACGCTAAGGACCATAAGCCTCTCGATGCGCCTGGAAGCTGAGCTGCAGGAGTTGTCTCCCCCTATTAGAATGTGAGCTCTTTGAAAGCAGGGACTTCCTCACTTCATTATGTGTATTCCTAGCTGAATGTTTGAAACATAATAAGCATTTAATAAGTGCTTTTTCATTCAATTTCCATTCCATTCTTTTCCTCTATGACACCACAAAAGGATGATATCCTAGGAGACCTTATCCAGGGGTCGGGAACCTGTGACCTCGAGGGACAATGTGGCCTCAAGGCCACCGGTTCCTTACCCCTGCCATATCTTACATAAACCCTAAGACAATTCAATTCAATTCAATTAAGCCTGTGGCACTGGACACAATGCTGTACACAGATTCAATTTATGATCACGGTTTGAATAAATATAAAAAATAATAAAAAATAAATATAAAAAATCCTTACTGAAGTAAGGATTTGGGTCAGGTCACTTTAAATGTGTTTATTTTCCCCTCATCAGTCCTTAACCTACCATCCTTTGAAAACCAACAGACCAAAAGAGAATGAGATAAGGAAGATCAGTCACTATTCTTACTTGAATATGAGTATTATTTTATCTGCCACAAGTGATTTGAAATAATTTCAACTAGTTGAACCTATGGGCAAGTTCCTAGCACACCACTATAACTGCCATCTTTTTCTACCTCTTTCTCATAAGAAAAAAGCAAGAAGGGTAACTTGGGTGTAAGCCACAGCCTACAACAAGTCATAGGCAGGACATGATTAGGATTCGAGAGTCCAGGAACCTCCAGCCTGAAATCAGCTTACCCAAACCCTCTGCTTTCTGAATTTGTAAAGTTGTCATTTATTTCTGATGTCCGATATTTTCTGAAGCTGTTGAAATCATCAAAATAGCAAGAAATTAATGATGTCACCACTCAGGTCGGACCAGCCCACTGTGATAGGGGTCCTTTTTTTTCTGGAATGCCTGAAGTAGAATTGTAACTAGAGTATAACAATCGGAACAGCTAGGTGGCACAGTGGATAGAGCTCCAGCCTTGGAGTAAGGAGGACCTGAGTTTAAAACCGGCCTCAGACACATAACACTCACTAGCTGTGTGACCCTGGGCAAGTCACTTAACGCCTTTGCCCCATATATAAAAAAAAAAAGATATAGAGTATAACAATCAAGGCTTTGTCCCAGGGTGCCAAAATTTGGAGGGCATCCATTGCATTGAGTCCTTCCACAACCTAGAAACAACTCACCTTAGTACCTAGTTAGCAAGAATTTTTTCCCCTTTGGTCTAGACTTGTGATTTTCTATTGAAACAGGGAAAAGTCTTCATCTTAGAGGGCACTGAGATGCCTAGGGTCACACACTAAAGGATGAGTCATAGGTGGTACTTGAACTACGTCTACCAGACTTTCAAGGCTGGTTCATTATTTATCACATCATTCTGCTTCTCTCCATTAACAAGATTAACTAGTTTAAAGAGGAAGGTAGCAAAGGACATGTTCCCTCCCTGCTTGCTGACCCAGGATAGTCAAACTCCAGTGGAGACCAGACTGTTCTAGCCACACTTAGCAACAGCCTTTTAGTATCCAGGGGGCTTTTGTCTCCACACCAAATGTTGGAATTCTAAGGTCTCCCCCTCCCACTTCAACTGAACTAAAATTAATTTTAAAAATTGGGGGGGAGTGAGAATACATTTCATGCCTGGGAGTGTCCATGCTGTTTGCTCTGGGTACGAATATTGCTATGGCTCTGCCTAGAATAAGGGCCTTTTAGTAGACTGGAGATTTTGTTGGGATTCCCAGACAGCAGGGCTCTATCTTCCTGTCTGACTGCCACAGTGTGTTCTAATTCCTAGTTAAACCTTTATTATTGGCTACATGGCTGTAGACTCACAAAGGGGCTGCAGGGGAAGAAATAAGAGACAGGAATGGGTTGAGTTCACAGCCATTTATCTTCAGTCACCAGAACCAATTTGGGAGCAAAAAGAATTTGGCACAGACAGAGGGGGGAGTTGTTAAGGAAACACAGTACGGAAGAGGATAGAGCAAAAAGTAAATGAAGAAAAGAAGTCTCTCAGCCTAGCCTGTTTAAGAAACCCTAGCTATCAAAATCTTGTGATTTAAATCATTTCTTCCCTCCTTTTTAGGTGACATTAATGCTGGTTCTACCCAAGTCCAGACTTACCTGGGATATAGCTGACTGGGATAACCACCTTCATAATACTCAGCCCCAGAATGAGGCCTACTCTGATCCCCTGGCCTATATGGGTGGTTTGTCCACTGGTAGTCTGTCCATTGGTTTGGCCATGGTGGAGGGCCCCCTCGAAGGTCTGACCACTGGTAGAACTTCCCACCACTTTGCTGAGATTGAGGGATCAGAGGCTTGTGATAGCCACCCCTCTGAAGCCCCTTAGGCTGTGCTGCAGGCCTCCCTTGGGGCTGAGGCTGTGGAACAGGAACCCAGGGCTCCATCCCTGGCTGTCCTCAGAGCTTCTCTTGAGTTTTGATTGAATCAGTGTTGCAGCCGCTTTATCTTCCTGTGGACAAAAGAGACAACGACAGTTACCATCATCATCATCGTCATCATTATCCTCATCCTAATCCTCCTACTCATCATCATCATCAAAATTTAAGAACATGTCTGTACATGGTCCAGTGTTAGACTGAACAAAAATAACCACCTCAACCTGCTTCCGAAGACACTTTCAGACAGATGGAAAGACACTGAATGTGTCTGAAAAGTGTGGAACAAGAGTGTGAATTAAGTAACTTGACAGACAATGATATTAATCATATTTAGAAATAGTAGAAGAAATGTATCTAAGCCAGTTAATGTAGAGGGAATCATGGGAGCTGACTATTTAAACAAAGTTGATAAAAATGAAAAAAATCAATTTACCAGATTTGTGCTGCATTATACCATATGTTTGCTCATTAATTCATCCATCCATTCATCTATCCATTCATTCATTCATTTGATTCATTCAACAAATATGAAAGGTCCTGTGGGAGATACAAAGAAGTACTTTTATTTCAATATGGGCAACCAAGGCTATTCTTTAAGTAGAAAGAAAAGTGAAGCTTCTTCCCCAAAAGATATCTTTCTTACATCCCTAAGTAACTCTCTAAGCACAGATCCTCCTACTTACTTCCAGCAAAGGGAAAAGCTGAAAGGCATGCTCATTCTAATAATAGTTAGCATGTATAAAGCTTTATAATAACCTTCTGACGTAGATGTTATTATTAGCCTCATCTTCAGATGAGAAAACTGAGGTCAACAGAGGTTAAGTGACTCTTGCCAGGGTCACACAGGTAGTAGACAGGATTTGAACGCAGGTCTTCCTGACTCCAGATCCAGCGCTCTATCCACTGTGCTACCTGGGAAAGTGGGAAACAAATTCTCTCCAGAACAGCTAATTATGTTCCACTACTCAAGTTCCATTATTGGGACTCAAATCAGTATAACACCTCAAGCTAAATCCAACCCACCACTTTCCAAACTTCTCTATTGCTGTTAAGGGCAACACCATCCTCTCGATCCCCTAGGCTTGCAACCTAGTTGTCACTCTTGTCTCCTAACTATCTCTCATCCCCACAACCCCATATCCAATCTGCTGCTCCTCTTTAGAACATCTCCTGAATATGTCTTGTTCTCTCCTATGACTCTGCCACCATTCTGGTTCAGGCCCTCATCACCTCACTACTGGACTATTGCAATAGCCTGCTGGTGAATCTGCCTTCCATGTGTCTCCCCACTATTGTCCATCCTCCATTCAGTTATTAAATTGATTTTCCTAAAGAACAAATCTGACCATGGTACCCCTGTATCCAATGAACTTAAATGGCTCCCTATCACCTCCAGAATCAAATGAAAAATCTTCTGTTAGGCATTAAAAGCCCTTCATAACCTAAATTCTCCCTCCATCTCCAGTCTTCTTATACCTTACACCCCTTTCAACCCAGTGACCCTGTCCTCTTTGCTGTATCACCAACAAGACACTGCATCTCTCTGCTCTAGTTATTTTCTCGGGCTATCCCTCATGCTTGGAATGCTCTCTCCTCTCATCACCTCCTGGCTCCTTTGGCTTCCTTCAAGTGCCAACTAAAATCCCACCTCCTTACAGAAAGTTTTCCCCAGTCCCTCCTAATTCTACAGTCTTTCCTCTGTTGGTAACTTTATTTTTATCCTGTATATAGTTTGTATATATTTGTTGCTTTGTTGTCTCTCCCACCAGATTATGAGCTCCTTGAGAGCAGGTACTGTCTTTTACCTTTCTTTGCACCCCCAGCATTTAGCACAGTGCCCGGCACATAAGAGCTGCTTAATACATACTTAGTGACTGACTGCCTCCCATGCAATATCTGGAAGCAGATCCCATGCTTACCTAGTCTGTTTACTGGATGCCTGGGCCATTTCAGCCCTGATCCCCTCTTCTCCCTCAGGAAGTATTTCAGGATGGCAAAGTTCTGATCTGTCCAGTCCAATTTGATCTACCCTTAAAACTCCAAGCATAAGATCAAGATTCCCAACAGAGCAAAAAGTCAAAAGAATGCATTTAAACAAAGTGGGCATCCTCCATTCATGTATGAGAACCAGAAATCCAAAACTTAGCAAGGAGCAGTGGAAATGCACTCCTGGAATTTCAACAAAGAACCAGCATGGGAACTCTTAGGTCTGTCTATTGGCAGACCCCCTTCTTCAGTTACACTCACAATCTGAGGCATTGTCTAACTAAAACCACCCCCTCTCCATTTCCTAAACAAGGTGCAATGAAAGTCCTTTGTGTCAAACCTACAGAGAGCAGACACAATGACTTTGAATACAATGAGAGGGCTTTGGGGATCTCCAGAGATTCTTCTGGGCTTCATGCCCTTGGAACATAGTAGAATCCCTATGATCACACTTCTTACCTATAGTGTCCCTAAAATTTCCACTGGACAGACACACCACAGTCAAGACACCCAATCATGTTGCAGAAATCAAAACATGTGTTATCCTTTGCCAAAACAACACTCTCATCCCTCCCACCTATCGATCAGGAACTGATAATCAAATCAACGTGACCACTGCTTCTGTAGAGGGCATGACAATCTACTGCCCTCTGGCTCCACTTTGCAACTGTAGGTTGCCAAGTCTAAATCTCCCTTCCCTGGTCACCATTGCTCACTTGTTCATAATCCTTCATATCAGTCCCTTTCCTCATGTGACCGCAGCCCATTCTACCTTACTTTTCCATTATGCCCCCTAGAACTCCCATAGTATTGCTAGTAAACTATTCTTAATAATAGACCTGTGCCCTCCCCCCAGAAATTACCTTATAAAGATTTTGTACATAATGTTCTGCGTACACATTGTTCTGTCAATAGAATGTGAGCTTCTTATGGGCAGGGACTTTTTTCTTCTTTGACTTTGTATCCCCAGTGCCTAGGATAGCTCCGAGCCTAGAGCGGGTGCTTAATAAATGCTCATTGAATTGGATACTTAATGATTCTGATGAATAAAGCACCACATTTGAGGAAAAGAATTGAAAAGCATTCATGAGCCATCCGACAGAGAAGTGACATACCTACACACCAAAATAAACGACACTTCTAGAACTGTCATTTCAGAGCTGACTGTTACAGAAGGTCCCCTGTCAAAGCCAGGACAAGGGGCCCAATATGTGCATAACATACCTTGTGTACACCAGCTCAGATCAGATCCCCACCTTCCAACTTCAGTAGCTTTAAAAACCTCCTTGGAATGAGTCTGTTACTCTTTTTCTGGAAGAAACTGTCAAAGTCCAGCTGCCACATACACTGTCCCCTGACTCTCACAGACTCTCGAAGTTACCTTTACAACTGCCCAGCCTCTCCTGAACTGATTAATCAGGACAAAGTCCAGGCTGGCTAGCTGCCTGTGGGACAACCTGTCTATGACTGTTTACTCAGAACCCTGTCAGGTTCCCTGCTCAGGGCCTGAGCTGTTCAGGTTCATGTAAAACCTCTAAATCCTCAAAGCAATAGAGTGAGTGAAAAAGTAGCCTCCAAAGCTAATTTCACTGCCCCCTACCATGCCTTCTTTCCTTTCATCTGAACAGACTGATCCCACTGGGAGGACTGTCATCCGGGTTGAAAGAGTTTGTTGTTGCCTTTTTTCTTTTGCTTTTCCTTTCATTGGGTTCTACTGTATTATTTAATCTGTTTTCCTCCAAGAAGCCGATGACAATGCCCAACACAGAGCACTTGAAATGTCTTTTACTAAAATTATTAAAAATCCTCTCCCATAGAAGAACTCCCCTAACTTGACAAAACTAGGAGACATAAGTTGTACTTTTCAGTGTTTGTTTCAAAATGCCCGTTGCTCAAAGAAAATGAAAACACAAAGTGGGATCTCATGTTCCAAGGAGGGACTGATCCTGTTACTTCATACTTCTATTGTCTCATCCTGTGTCATGGCCACTCTAAGCACAAGGAAGGCTGATGGGGGGGACAGGGCAGACACACACCCCTCCTCCAAGGACCTTCTCGGCTCTCTTGCAGAATCTCTGCAGAAGAAAGAGAAAACAAGGGAAAAAGCCAAAAGGGCTGAGAAGGTCTGCTGGCCCCACACAAAGAGATGACTCCTCCCTCAGGAGTCCAGACCATCGAAATCATCTTGAGGTTCAGTCCCAGTTACTGAAACCCATCCCCTGGGAGGTACCAAGGGGCAGCCCCAGACTTAACCCATTCACCTTCTAACACTCCCTGTCATTATGACTTAAACCAGAGTTGTCTTTTTGTCCTCTTAACAAGGTTCCAAGAAGCATGTCCATACTCATTAGGAAGAGGCGTGGATGAGCAAGGATTCCAAGGGAAGATTACAACCTTGTAAACTCATCAAGTTATCCTCTGAGACAAAAGCAAAAGAAAGGCTAGAAGGAGCTTTAGGGAGGTTTGGGGGTATGGAGTGAGGAGGGACTAGAGAGTTTATGACAGACTGGCTCAGTATTCTCAACAAAGCAGGAAAGTTGGAGAAAGAGAGGGAGAGAGAAAGACAGAGAGAGACAGAGAGACAAAGAGAGAGACAGAGAGAGTGCAACAGAGAGAGCAGGAGAGTGGGGGGGTGGAATATGCTAAACAGTCAATTAGAAAAGGATAAAGTGATTGATATGCTGCAATTAGATAGATTGAATTTGTAGTGCAAACCATTGCATGACTACCACCAGCCAGCCACATTCTCGGCAACCTTGGAGTAGAATTAAAGAAGGCAGGTGGTAGAGTTGACCCAAGATTGAGAATTGGCAGGACACCAGAATAATAAATTCTTAAGGCAGCTAGGTGGTTCAGTGGATAGAGTGCCAAGGCTGGAGTCAGGAAGACCTGAGTTCAAATCTGCTTTGAGACACTAGCTATGTGACCCTGGGCAAGTGTGATTCTGTTTGCCTCAGTTTCCTCATCTATAAAATGAGCTGGAGAAGGAAATGGCAAACCACTCCAGTATCTCTGCCAAAAAAACCCACAATGGGGTCATGGAGAGTCCACCGTGACTGAAATAACTCAACAACAAAAACAACAGAATAATCAAAGATGGAGAGCAACAAACTGGTTAACTATAGAATAGACTGTGAAAAGAAAAAAGTGAGGCCGGAGCAGAGTGATTGACTGGGAGAGGGGAGAGGGATAGAGAGGACCACCCACAGGGAGCAGTGAGGACAAAGGAAGTTTAGGAAGAAAGAGGAAGAGAAGAGAGCTGGAAGGCTAGGAGTGGAATTTCAGGTCAAGACCATGGAAATGGCATAGTTTGGGATCCTCATTGGTGATGTAGTAGATAGAGTGCTGGATTTGAGGCAGAGAGACCTGTGTTCAAATCCCTACTCAGACTCTAATAAAATAACCCCAACAAGTTGCTTAACCTCTTAGCCTCAGTTTTCTTTCCTCATAGGGTTGTTGTGAAGATCAAATGAAATAACTTGTAAAGCACTTTGCAAACCTTAATGAGCTACATAAATGCTGTTGTTGCTGTTGTTCAGTCGTGACCTACTCCTTGTGACCCCATGGACCATAGCATGTCAATACTGTCCTTGAGGTTTCCTCGGCAAAGATACAAGAGTGGTTTGGCGTTTCCTTCTCCAGTAGATTAAAGCAGAGGTAAAATGACTTGCCCAGGGTCACACAGCTAGTACATGTCTAAGGCCAGATTGGAACTCAAGTCTTCCTGACTCCAAGTCCAGCACTCTATCATTTTATGTTTCTCTTTGTGTATGTATTCCTTTTGTGTATAGCTTGGGCTAGATAGAGGTTCCCAACCTTTAACAATCTCTATACCCTTTGACTTTTGGCAAACCTTCTCATAACTCCTGTTCAATATGAAATGAAACAAATTCTAGAGCCTACTATGCATATAATTTTAAAATAAAATAGATTAACTACAATAGGATAATATAGTTATTTGCCAAACATTCCCTGTATCCAGGGTGTGCTGCAACTGACTTGTACAAGCTCCTGGAAGTGGATTATGAAATGTTCAGTCTAAGCATTTACCCCTCTGAAATCAGCAAATGCTGCAAAATAATGCCTAACTTTTTTTTCTAGATTTAAATCATCAAGAAAATGGTAATAATGCATATAAACTTTAAAATTTGTTCTACATACATATTTTTTTGGGACATCTGATTGTTAAACATTTACCAGCACACCACTGCCTGCATCCCCTTGACAAGGTTCTCATTCTCCCTGGGGGTGTTGTTGTTGAATCAGTTCAGTCATGACCCCATCTGAAGTTTTCTTGGCAAAGATACTGGAGTGGTTTGCCATTTTCTTCTCCAGTTCATTTGACAGGTGAGGAAAATGAGAAAAACAAGGTTAAGTGACTTTCCCAGGGTCACACAGCTAGTAAGTATCTAAGGGAGGATTTGAACTCAGGTCCTCCTGACTCCAGGCTCACTGCTCTATCCACTGTACCACCTAGCCGCCCTCTCCCTGGGGATACATGTACCCAAGTTTGGGCACCCCTGGACTGACCTGAGGTATCTTTTCTGATTCTCAAATTCTGTGATTCTATAATCTAAGGCGTAACTCTCCTTGCAGGTGGCTGAGATAGAATCGAGATGCTAATCATGGTAATAAAGGTTAAAAAATTAGGAAACTAGGGCAGGTGTGGGGAACTTGCAGCCTGGAGGCCATATGTGGCCCTCTTCGTCCTCCTGCGTGGCCCTTTGACTGAATCCAAACTTCACAGAACACATCTCCTTAATAAAAGAATTTGTTCTGAAAAACTTGGACTCAGTCAAAAGGCCACACTCAAGGACCTGGAAAGCCACAGGTGGCCTCAAAGCTGCAGATTCCCCATCCTAGGCTAGTGTGTCTGGAGAGATGTCAATACAAGCAGTAACTATCCAAGGATGAGGGCAGGCACTGGGGAGGAGTGGAAGATTGTGAACCAAACGGTGAATTCCTTGAGAAAGGAAGAAGAGGGACTTGAAAGCAGAAGAGATGAGAGGGTATGGCCACCAGTACCAACAATCAATGCCTCCCCTCTCTTCCTCGGCGGCAGCCTACCTGGGCCGTGGGTGGCATAGCACTTAATCCAACCCTGCTTAAAACAAAACGCTTTTAAGTATTTCTTTGGGAACTAAAACTACCCTAGGGGGGCAAATGCTTTTTCAACATCCCTACCTACGGCAAAGCTTTGACCTTTAAGGATCAACTTGATTTATCGAACCAAGCCACCTGGAGCTGCGTCCAATGAGTGAGATAGGGGTTCAAAGCAGGAAAAAAAAAAAAACTCTAGCTTTTTGGGTTCCTGGCTTCCAGGATGACCGAAAGGAGGAGGAAGAAGGGGCGAGCCACGAAGGGCCGTGGCCACGTGCAGCCAGGCCGCCGCACCAGCTGTGCCAGCTGTGTGCCCAAGGACAAAGCCATGAAGGTCGACATCCGCGACATCGTGGAAGCCGCGGCCGCCAGGGACGTCTCCGAGGCCGGCGTCTTCCACTGCACATGCTGCCCAAGCTGTATGTGAGCTGCGCGACCCGCAGCAAGTTAGTGAGGAATCGGTCCGGGAGGCACGAAAGGATCAGATGCCCCCCACCTCGCTTCAGACCTACTGGTGCTGCCCCCAGACCCTTCAAAGCCCATGTAAAGAGCTATCTGCCCATCAACATTCCTGAACCGATCAGAGGAAAATAAAATGGTTGGTCAACCTGGAAAAAAATAAACTATAAGCTTTAAATAATGAAATATTTTCTTATGTAGCAGTACAGTCTAGGCTTCATATTGTCTCATTATTGTGTGACTTTAGGCAGTGTACATACTGAGCCTCAGTTTCCTCATATGTAAAATGAGGATGTCCTATTTGACCTATCTCAAAGTGCTGCTGTGAATACCAAACGAGAACACAGATGCAAAGTCCTTTGCAATTAAAAAAAACATTATGTAACTATAGACTATTATTGTGTAGCTTATTGATAGGTTTCTAGGGCAAGTCTCAAGAGTTTTAAAAATATTTATAAGCAACAGCAGCAAATAAGTGTGACTCCCACGATGATTACTTGAAAGCATCATGCTTTTTTGGATTTATAAGTTCTGGTAAATTTGTTAAAATATGTCTTATATTTGTTAAAATATAACTCATATATCATCTTATAGCCAGGCATTGTAATTCATTTAAATTTGTCAGCAAGTGAAGGTCTGGGAACGTAGCTGTAGCAATGCACCAGAAATTAAATTTAGGGGCTTCATTAATAACCCATTTAGGAAAAGAGCAGATATTTAAACCAGCCCCATACTGCTTGATAAGGCTGATGGTGCAGGGTATGGAAGGGCAGGGCAGTGAAAAGCCAAGTGAGACATTGAAGCAGCTCCATGTCAA